CGCCCCGAGTTCACTCAACCGTGACAAAACCAGGCTGTAAAAACGGAGCGGAACTCACTTTAAAACAGCTGTCCTTGGCTTAATCTGGGGAAACTTTGATTTAATTTTGATTTCTATGATTCTCCAATCTGGAGGGAGTTCCGGAAGGCCGCTGCTGCGAGAACGATTATGATCGTCAGTATAAAGGACCCCGATAGAAACATTCCCAAATATTAAATCGGTGAGGCAAGCTACACACACACACAAAATGCTTTTTAAAAGCATTTTACGGGAACAATGAGGATAATAGAAGTAGTCAAACCTATGTTAATAAACCAAGATACCAAGGTATATAATGTATTTATGAAAGGAACTAAAACGATAGTTGGTGGGGCAAAAATCTCTATTAACACCTCTGTTGTTGCGGTAACAATCGGGATGACGCAGTTTATCATGTAGATGTAAAGGTTCAATTAAGAACAGATGTATTCCAGTATATTTCTTCTTTTTTTTTCTGTTCTTTTTTCGGACGGAGGCGACGTCTTCGTGACGACGCTCCATTCCTGCAGTTTGTAAAATAGCCACGATTGTAAGAGATTGTAAGAGCAATAAAACCTTTTTAAATTAGTAGATCATGTTCTGTCTTTTATGTTCTCGTCGGTGCGATGTCTTCCCTTGAATGACTCCCGGACAGGGAAGGATAAACCGCTCGGTCAAGAACTGAGTTGATTGACGGCTCTGAACGGCCGCCGGGTGGGATTTGGTGGAGGCTCCAGCTGGGGAAAGCTTAATGCAGCCGACAGCCAGCGGAGAAGAGGAGGAGGAATTGACTTCTGCTCCTCATCCGAGAACACGCAGGGCAGAGGAAAGGCAGGAGCAGAAAAGGTCAGCCAGACTACTCGTGTTGTGATTCCTCGCCAGCCCGTGGATCCGACGGCTGAGTCTGGGGAATCCGAGGAGGAAGAGGAGGAGGGGCCTGGAGTGCCATCAGTCAGAGGAAGGCTCTGAGGAGCTCCAAGACTTACAATCTGACGAGGAGCCTGGCCCCTCCACTCGTGCACAGGTTGAGACACAGACTGTGAGGATTCGCAGCCGGAAGACATCGCAGATGCTCGCAAACGCCGACAGGCAACGAGAGTCGGACAGAGGACTGCAACGGGGCGGCTCCAAAGGCAAAGGAGACGGCATTAGGAAGCCACGCCTCGGGCTGCATAATAAAAGGGAAGGTGTGGGAGGTGCTGGTGGCCGAAGGCCACCGTTTGTGAAGGAATCATGGTTCGCCGAGTCGTATGTTGTTTGCCCTTTGCCTTTGGATAATTTTCCGTTTGGAAGAAATCGAGTTTTGTCGCATTTGCTTTTCTGGACGTTTTGCAGGTCTGTAAATAATAATAATAATAATAAAAGGGGTTGTTTTTCCTACTGTTTCAGCCTACTTGTTGGAAGAGGGGTTTCTCCTTGTGAGTTTTCTAGCTCTGTGTTGGATCGTTGTGATTCCTGCTTCACTCTGGATTGGCGCCGTGTTTGGAATCCTGCGTCGGAGACTCTGAACTTTTCTCGCCCCATGAGATTGTCGTGATTCCTGCTTCACTCTGGATTGACACCGTGTTTGGAATCGTGCGTCGGAGACTCTGAACTTTTCTCGCCCCATGAGCGCTCGTCGCGATTCCTGCTTCACTCTGGATTGACGCCGTGTTTCGAATCATGCATTGGAGACTCGGAAGTTGCCCCATGAGCTCTTGTAATTCTTGCTTCACTATGGATTGATGTCGTGTTTGGAATCATACGTCTGAGACTTGGAACTTTTATTGCTCCATAAGTGCTTTCATTCCTGCTTCACTCTGGATTGACACCGTGTTTGGAATCATGCGTCGTAGATTCGGAACTTTTCTCGTTCCGGTGAGTTCTCGTGATTCCTGCTTCACTCTGGATTGACGCCATGTTTGGAGACTCGGAACTATTCTTGCCCCATGAGCTCTGTGATTCCTGCTTCACTCTGGATTGACGCCGTGTTTGGAACCCTGCGTCGGAGACTCCGAACTTTTCTTGCCTTGGGTGCTCTCGTGGGTGGCTTTTAAGTTTCGCCTGGTGGATCAAAGTTTGGTGGAATTGTTCCATTTGAGCAACTTTCAAGGGTTTTGTGGATGCTCAGGCCATTGCTCGGTGGACGAACCTTGGTCTATTTGCAGCTGGACTCAGATTGGGACACTTCTGGGTTTGGGGTGAATTGCTAACTCACTAAACCAGAGTTAATTGTGTGCGTGACAGGGGTAGCACATCGTGACCTATTTGCCAATAGTTGATTCTTCTTTAGGAAAGTCTTATGGTTGGGAGCCATTCATAATTGCTTACGAGAAATTCAGAGACTTCTCGACTTAACGACGGTTTAGTAACCGTTCGAAATTCTAAACAGCAGCGGAAAAAAGTTAAATTTACGAGTCCTCGCCCTTGAAATGTTCCTTTATTGCGCCTCGTCTGTAGACAGAATCTTGCCTTACTAAAGCAGCTGTCGTCCTCGGCTTACAACAGTTCACTCACAGGGACTTTCACACTTATGACGGTTGCAGCAGCCCCGTGCGTCACGTGACCAAAATTTCAGACGCTTGGCATCGGGCTCATCTTTATGGTGGTCGCAGCGTCCTGGCTTCACCTGATTGACAGCGTTGCAAACCGAACAACGGCAGGGAGTTGCTGAACGCACGTGCCAAGAGAAGTCGCCAAAGGGGGGGGCAAAGCTCACGGAACCGTCGTCTCGCTTAGCGACAGCAGTTTCAGGCTGAGTTGTGGCTGTTAATGTCGAGGACTACCTGCGTAAACGAATTTGAAGTCAGTAACGGGACTCAAAACCCGGAGTAATCAAAGAAAACGGACAAAGAAGGGTTTTGAACTCACAAAAGTGGCAATTTTTTATTCGCCAGATTCCGTGTAGGAACGTTGAAAAACGAAACAGGATTTCTTCCGGTCGTCAATATAATACTGGATAATGCTTTTCCGGATATTTCTCAACTGGAATGTTTAATTTCTAATTGTTTTTAATAAGTTGCTCATCTTTTGCTATTTTTCAGTTTAAAATCTCCCTTTTCTACCGAGTAAACTACGCAAAGATTTAAGAGCAGTTGAAAAAAACATCACTCCACCAGTGAAGGATTTACTTACTTCTAGACTTACCCAGAATTCTCACGGGCTGCTGCACTGACTGGGGAATTCTGGGAATTGAAAGTCCCACACACCTTGGGAAACCTAGGTGTGTAAGCTAAGGTGCAAGTTTTCACGTAAGCGGCTGTGTTTGCAAACACCCACAACACATTTCCTTGCTGTGGCTCACCCGGACCGGTGGCGAGTTCAAGATATTTGGGGGGGGGGGGAAAGAAATTTAACTTTGCTTAAGTCATCACCGTCCAACTCAGCATGCATTAAGAGGGGTTGACTTCAATTCCCAGAATCCCCCAGCCAGCGTGCTTTAAGAGGGGAGGACCTCCACTCCCAGAATCCCCCAGCCGGCATGCATTAAGAGGGGAGGACTTCAATTCCCAGAATCCCTCAGCTGGAATGCATTGAGAGGGGTTGACGTCAACTCCCAGAATCCCCCAGCCAGCGTGCTTTAAGAGGGGAGGACTTCCACTCCCAGAATCCCCTAGCCTGCATGCTTTAATTTTGGGAGTTAAAGTCCACCCTTCTTAAAGCATGCCGGCTGGGGAATTCTGGGAAATGAAGTCCACCCATTAAATAATGCCAGCTGGGGGATTCTGGGAGTTGAAGTCCACCCCTCTTAAAGCATGCCGGCTGGGGAATTCTGGCAAATGAAGTCCACCCATTAAAGAATGCCGGCTGGGGGATTCTGGGAAATGAAGTCCACCCATTAAAGAATGCCAGCTGGGGAATTCTGGGAATCGAAGTCCACCTATTTTCAAATTGCTGAGATTTGAGACCCACCAATCTCGCCCGAGAGACGAAGAGAAAATCGTTTGTAAAATCTCCATTTCAAAACCAACAGATGCTCGAATTCACCTCGTGCGCAAAGAATTTCACTAATTAAAATAATTTCCGTTTTTGGCTCGCCAAGGCTCCCGACGGAATAATACACTTGGTGAACCCTAGTTGGGAAAAGGGTGAAATTGTCAGAAAAAGACTCTCCAAGGATTGTCGTTCTCCTTTTTATCCCTCCCACCACCAAAATTCAGCCTTCCCCCCAAAACAAGATTATCATCCCAAATTCTTAATTTTTGGTGCAGCAATACTTCAAACGCGGGATCCTTTGCTCCCGGCTATATTTTCAGCTCCAGGAAAAAAGAAAAAAAAAAGCAATTTTTTTTAAAAATCCCACAAGTTCCTGGCCCTTAAATCCCATCTCCTTTGCCAAGAAAATCCTTCAAAAAATACCGCAATAATTTAGATTTATCGTCCAACATATTATCCCTGCGGAAGGGAGATCAGTCTTTTGAATGCCGCCGCTACAAGAGGATTTGCAAACTCGGTCTCAGTCCGAGGAGTGGATAAGGATTCTTTTTTTAATGAGAAAGTTTGTTGTTGTCGGCGTCGTTCCTATTTCTGGGATTGGAAAGTTTGGGAGGGGAAAAAGAATTGCGGTCTCAATCCAAGGAGTGGATAAGGATTTTTTTTTTTAACGAGAAAGTTTGTTGGCGTCGTTCCTATTTCTGGGATTGGAAAGTTTGGGGGGGGGGGAAGGGAATTTGGGGTAGGAAATTTGCCAAATCCTGTCCCAGTTTAGGAGGTGACGAGTGAGTATTACTTGTCGCAACCCGCAATCCTAGAGTTCCGTTTCTGACGTTTGGCCCCCTTTAAGAAGGGTGGACTTCAACTCCCAGAATCCCTCGGCCAGGGATTCTGGGAGTTGAAGTCCACCCTTCTGAAAAGGGCCGCGTTTCGGAAATGGAAATTGCCGAACCATCAAAAGGGGGAATTGTAGGAACATTTCATCCTGTCGAAGATCATCCCGGGAACGAGAGACACCCAGCCGATCGGATTTGTCTCGGCGGAGTCTCGCCGCCTCGACGCGTCAGCCATCACTGCACCAAGCAGACGTCCAAAATGCAGAATTTGGCTCGGCAGGTGGGACAAGGCACGTGGCTGGAGAGCCAGGTTTCGGGATGCTGCTGGTCCTGCTGGCTGGCGAACCATTTGCCCATGCAGAGGAGGCACCACATGGGGTAGCAGAAACAGGGCTGGCATTCGCCCTCCTGCGGCTCCCGGCAGTTTTTCAGCAGCTTGACGTTGGCCTGGATCTGCATGCAGCCGATGCACAGGTGCAGCTCCTGCGGGGCGAAGGAGGGGAGAGGAAGGAAGGAAAGAGAGGGGTCAGCAGAGATGTTTTGAGCTGGGTGGTTTTCTTACAGACGTTTTGTGACCCCTCCAGGTAACATCAGTGCTGGGAGGGTTTGCTGTCTATTTATATACAATACCTCACTCCCTTCCAGCATTGATGAACTTCGGTCACTAAACGAACCCGTTGTAAGTGAAGGGCTACCTGTTAGCTTGGAAATCTGAGAGCTGGCCCAGGATACTTTTTTTTGGGGCAACTTTGAATGGTTACTAAGCAGACCCGTCGTAAGTGGGGGACCAGCCGTAATCCCCCCCGATCCAAAGCGGAAGAGACTTCACCTGGTTGCTGGGCAGCGGGTAAGGCTGGTTCCTCTCCACCAGGGTGCTGAATGTCTCCAGGAACAGGTCGCTCAGGCTCTGATGGATGACTACCTGCGCCGCGTTCCGGATCGGGGCCTGGAGTTTTTCCTGCAGGTCCCCGTATTCCGACGAGTTGAGCCTGAGAGGAAAACGAAGCTGTGAGGTCAGGTTTGGGACAAGGAAGGACCTTTCTTTTCCAAAGGGAGATCCAGAGCAGGGGTCCCCAACCTGCGGGCCACGACACGCTCCCGGTCTGTGGTGGATCCACAACCGGGCCCCGTTGAGTGGCCGGCTGGAGCATCACGGGTACTCGGAGACATACATGTGTCGACGCTCGGGGCCTCGTGCGAGGGTTCGTGGTGTTTCGTGCGAGCGCTCTGGGCCTTGCTCGTGCGAGGATCACAGGCATGGAGAGTCACTTGTGCAAGCGATGTGGGCCTCACTCGGGGACTCATTCAGGGACTTCACACGTGCTTGGACACACATTTCAGTGCTCGGGGCATCATAGTCTCTTTTGTGCAAGCATTCTGGGCCTCACTCGTGCGAGCACTCAGGCCTCATTCGTGCCTCACGGTCATCGACACTCACTTGTGCAAGGGCTCTGGGCCTCACTCGCAAATGCTCGGGCACTCTCATGGAAGCTTGACGGGGTGCTCGGATACACGCGTGAGTGCTCTGGGCCACACTCATACAAGCACTCTGGGCCTCGTGCGAGCATTACGGGCACTGAGACTCACTCGTGAATGCTCGGCGACTCGTGCAAGGTTCACAGGTGCTCGGACATACCTGTTAGTGCTTGGGGCCTCACTCGTGCGAGCGCTGTAACTCGTGCGAGCATTACAGGCACTGAGACTCACTCGGGAATACTTGGGAACTCACTCATGCAAGCTTCACAGGTGCTCGGACATACGTGTGAGTGCTCTGAGCCTCACTCATGCAAACGCTCGGGGCCTTGTGGTCTCTTTCATGCAAGCACTCTGGGCCTCACTCATGCAAGCATCAGGGGCACCGAGACTCACTTGTCCAAGGGCTCTGGGCCACATTTGCGAGTGCTCAGGGACTCATTCATGCAAGCTTTACGAGTGCTCAGACACACAGCGCTCAGGACCTCATGCGAATGATCTATCGTGCAAGCACTGGGCCTCACTCATGCCAGTGCTTGGGGCCTCACTCATCCGAGCATCCTGGGCACTGAAACTCACTTGTGCATTGGCTCTGGGCCTCACTTGTGAATGTTCGGGGACTCAAGCTTACCAGATGCTCAGACACATGAGTGCGAGTGCTCGTGATCTTTCATGGAAGCACACTGGGCCTCCCTCGTGCGAGCGCTTGGGGCCTCACTCGTTCAAGCTTCACAGGCGCTCGGACACACGTGCGAGCGTGCTGGGCCTCCCTTGTGCAAGCATCGCAGGCACTTGGGGACTCGTTCGTGTGAGTGCCCAGGGCCTTACTCTTAAGAGCGGAACCATTACCGGATGTCAAAGGGCTTGACTTGGGGGTTGGCGCTGGCCACGCGGATGGTCAGGAACTGAGCCGGCATGCCGGCGTCCGGCAACAGCTCTTGCTGTCTCGCGTCTACGACGGTCAGCTGGATGTCGCGCTGCTGGGCCACGTGCAAGGAGTAGGTGGTGACCTTGAGGATCCAGCTGTCGGTCACGATCAGCCGGGCCCCCGGGGGCCCCGTGGCGAACTTGTCGATCCGGCGGAATTCGGCATTGATGGAGGCGGCCACGGCCCGCCAGCCGGGGTGGGGGGGCAGGGCGAAGGTGGCCAGGGTCTTGACCAGCGGGTGGTGGGCCCAGCCGTCCTGCGACCAGGTGTAGGTGAAGGTGCCCGCGAGGGCCAGGAGGAGGACAGCCCCGGCCAGGAAGGTCTTCCACGGATCGGGCGCCTGGTAGATGGTGCAGAGCTGTTTTTCGGGCGCCGCAAAACACATGCCCAAGTAGTAGCCTGGGAAGGAAGGGAAGGTCTTTCTTTCTCTCCTCCAACCTGTTTCTTCCCTTCTTCCTTTCCTGTGTCTTTTCTTTCTCCTTCCTTTTTCCGGTCCTGCTTTCCTCTGGCCTTTCTCCTTCCTTTCTTCCATCTTTCTTTCAAGCTATTTCTTTCCCTCCTCCCTTTCCTTCTTCCTTTCCTTCCAGTTTCTTTCTCCTTCTTCCCTTTTCTGTCCTTCCCTCCTTCCTCCTGCCTTTCTTCCTTCCCTCCTTTTCCTCTCCCTCCCCCCTCCGCTGGGCCTCCCCCTCCCCTTTCTCCTCCCTCCCCCCCTTGGGTTTCCCCCTCCCCTCTTCCTAGTCCCTCAATGGGGGGTGTCATTCTCTCCCCCACCCCTCTCTCTTAGACCGTGAAATGGGGGGTATCATTCCCTCCTCCTCCTCTGGGTCTCCCCTTCCCTTCCCAGACCCTGTAGGGGGTGTCATTCCATCCCCCTCCCCTAGACCCTGAAGTGGGGGGGGTCATTCCCTCCCCCTCCCCTGGGGCTCCCCCTCCCCTCCCTCCTAGACCCTGAAGTGGGGGGTGTCATTCCCTCCTCTGTCCTAGACCCTAAAGTGGGGGGGTCATTCCCTCCCCCTCCCCTAGACCCTGACTGGGGGGGTCATTCCCTCCCCCTCCCCTGGGTCTCCCCCTCCTCTGGCACTGCCCCTCCCCTAGACCCTGAGTTGGGGGGTCATTCCCTCCCCTTGGGTCTCCCCCTCCCCTCTGTCCTAGACCCTAAAGTGGGGGGTGTCATTCCCTCCCCTGGGTCTCCCCCTCCCCTCGACCCTGAGTGGGGGGG